GGAGGGGGGGGGGGGGGGGGGGGTTGACTTAAAACTTAAAGTTTTAAGTAAACTAAGGATTAATTTTAAGAAATAAACACAATGCTTTCCCCTATAAGTTGTAAGCTCGTGCAACTTCTCAATGCAGAGTTTATATTTCTAAAACTAAAATAGAAAATGAAATATTTTCCAATTATCAGCAAGGATCTTCACTGTTTACAAAGTTGTAAATGTCCATTGTACTATCAGGGAAACTGCAACAAGTGGGGAACAGGAATTAACCATAATGGGTTGCTAAACTAGATAAATTTAAATGAGAACAGCAAATCAAGAAGAATTGACAAGGGCAAATGATGCTGCAAGACCATACACGTTATTTTCCATTCACTTAAAACTATATCAGGATAACAAAAATTATAAAACCATCCTCAACACACACACAGAAAGATAGAAAGGAAGAAAACAAACTGATGCATAATAAATAGCCCTTTGTAAGCGACTATGCCAGGTTTTCCTTGAATCCTCAGATTCACAACGCATGATTATTGCATTTGAGTCCTCCACAACCTAAAACCATTTAGTGATTGATATTAATAGAAATTCACACCTTTATGGAAAGAACAGAAAGTTCCCATGCCTGGTTTTTGGACAACAGAAAAGAATGATTACCTTATTGTTGGATCGTGTAGGACTACAAACAACTAAAACATGTTGTACATTACCAACAAGCTCTGGTGGAACCTGATACACCTGTTTTCCTCGTAGGCTATGAAAATCAGATTAAATAGGCAGTTAATAGCATATATAAGCCGAGAGAAGATGCAGATAACAATTAAATAAACACTTCAATCAGATCCTTCAGAACCAAGGGCTGGCCCTAAGCCCACAAGTCCATCATGTGGCCCTTTTTAGCCCTGACCCATGTGTGTCAGGGCTAAGTTGGGTGGGGTGGGACATTTTTGACAACTAAGGAGGAAGTATGCCCATTGTCCCTTTTGCATCCATATACAGTAGCAACACTTGCTCAGCAATTCCTGGATCAAATCTATAGACTACATGGAGCACCAATGGAGATAATTAGTGGTGGGGATCCTGTTTCTGTGCATAACTTTAAGGAGTTCTTTTAAACTTTGAGGATTGAATAGAAAAGCAATTTTAAGTCCTAAACAGATGCTTGGAAACGTACTTAAGATGTATGTGTTGGAAGAATTCAAAAGAATGGAGTGGTTGTCCCTTGTTGAATCAATGGTTCTATAATTTCACATTCCAGACAGCAAACAAAAGCAATCCTTCATGAGCTCTTGCATGGGCAACAACCATTAAATATTCCCTATCTCCCAAGTAATTCAATGGTAGATGCACTTGACAACACATTTGCAGCAAGAGAAGAAATGACAGTTCTTAAACATCACTTACATCATGCTGCAAACATGAATGATGAAGCAAGAACGTCTGATAAGGAATTCAGGATTCACCAAGGTTCAGCTTTACTGACAGATTTCTGCCGCAGCAAGAAGCTCTAAAAAACTTGTTCCTAAGTACTATGGGCCCTATAAGGTACTGGAAAAGATGTGTCCAGTTGCCTACAAGTTGCAACTTGATAAAAATCTCTGATCCACTTAACTTTTCATGTCTCCTTATTCAATTCATGCCCAGATCCCTTTCTCCCATTGATTGCCCAACCATACCTAGTACTATGTTTCCTAAAATGATTCTCCAGAAACACATGGAACAGGAGAGGCTCACATCATCACAGCAATTTTTGTGTATTAGTGTGGTTTACCTGATGAAGAGGCTACGTGTGTTCCACTATTCAGGTTTCAATAACACTTCCCAACATTTGAGGGAAAAGGTCCTCATTTGGAGGAGGGATATTGTTATGTAAATATAAATAGGAGAAAAATGTTTCTTAGTTAATCAGCTACTATTAGTTAAGATTTCATAGCAATTGGGTAATTGCCTATAAATAAAGCATGGCTTTTGTGTTACACAAACAGTGGTCCTCAAACTTATAATAACACAAGTTAATGAAGAGGAAGATAGCAATGACAGCCACTTGGACAAAATTAGGTTGAGGTTGGACAGAGTCAAGAGAGAGAAAACTAGGGTACATACAAGTGTTGTACAAGTGCAGCATTTACACAAGTCCCCGTATTCTATGAGGGATATAGGAAACTTATGGTTTCAGGGTTTAAAATCTCATCTGAAATAACAACTACAGAACCCCTTTAAGTCTTAGATATCAATTCATAGCATGAAACATCACCTAAATAAAATTACAAATTATGCTTATACTAAAATTAGGAAACACAAAAAAATCATAAAACTTTGATCAACAGATAAAAAACCTTGTACAATACTCCTAACCCATATAAAATCCTGTTAGGAGTTCAATTCGATACAATAATAACTAAACTAAAACTAACTGAAGTAACTAACAGGGTCCTTAAATGTAATCCAGTCAAAGTCACGTAATCTATAGTGTCGTAAAAAGACACAAAAAGAGAGCATTTGCACCTTGTATACTGCTTGTAAGATCTCGAGTCAGGGCTTTCAAGTACATAAAGAAAAGGCCCAACTAAGCAGAAGTATCTCCGCTGCCACACAGCTTCCCTAATTCCCACACCCTATCACATTTTTTAAGAAGACACGTGATATAATATATCAGATTAAGAAGATGCTACATGGACAACAAATATAGCCAATAGCTAAGCTAGAGGTGCTGAAAGAGACCACTACCTTCCAAGTTAGAAGAGACAACCACCCCTCAAGGTCAGCCTGATTCCAAGGACGAAGTAACTCAGAGTTATCACCATCCTCCTCCTCAAAGATCTTTATTACATGCATCAGTCGATGATATCGAGCAGGTGAAAAATGAAAGGCCAATGATGGAAGCCTTACTGCAAGGCGTGTTGGAGGATAATATGGGCTCTCCAAACGAATCTGATCATAATGATGAAAAAAGTTGGAATGCTTCTTATCTTAAAAAAGATAAATTCCATCTCCTCAAGAATTTTACCTGTTGAAGCTGTAAGATGACTCCACACATGTCAATAATTGGGAAGAAACCACTTTTAGTAGAATGGGCTGACTTATTCAGAGAAACTTGGCTCCAGTGATAGTCACCATCAAACAAAAACGCTGATACATCACTTAAGACCAAATCAAATCGCAGGTACATATTATCCTCAGCTGATTCCGGTTGATAGTTGTCCTGAATACATAATTTATACAGTTTTTAACAAATTAGACAAGTTTGAAATAAAGATACTACAAAACTTATCAGGAGTATGCACCTGTGTACGAATCATCAAGTTCCCTAGATCCAGTAAAAGCTTTGTAGCACGGGTATTGTCAGGACAAAAATCAGTAGGAATAGTAATCTTGGGAGCTGCAATATCCAAATCTAATGAAAACCTAATAGAAAAACAACAACTAGAGTTAGCAAGGAGCTTCTCAAGAAGAAACCCATCCGGTTTGAGGAATGATTACATAATGAAACAACAAACTATGAAAAGAAAAAAAAAATCTTAAAAATCAAGTATATCAATAGTCTATAGTCTATTTAGTAACACTAAGAACCATTATCAAATCATTCTCTCATTGCTTGATGCGGGAGCTTTACCACATCTCACACTACTCAATGTCAGCAATGTTAAATTCTAATTATGTCGTTATAAAATGTAATCAGAAGCTAGGACCAACAGCAATATCACATTAGGGCAGCATTTGGACAAATTCTAAGATATCATTTCCCAACATTTCCTTATTTATATTAGATTAGAATCCGCCTCTATATCATTTTATCAAGAAATAATATTTCAGAGATTATTTTTCTTTTTCAAGTAAACAGAAGGAACTGAACAACAGCAGTGTGAAGGATTAAACCACTTATACCACGTCTAGAATCAGAAAATAATTGAGGTAAAATTTTGTGTGAATCAGCCCACACCGTTATAACACTTTTACCACATCTAGAATCAGAAAATAATTGAGGTAAAAATTTGTGTATCAACCCATGCAGTTATATATATACAATGTACATCATAAGTTACAAGAGGATCTAATCAGCACATGTATAATGAGTAATATCTGATACTACTCATCAGACATATGCTTTAAATCTAAATCATTTTAAATTATTATATTTGACAATAATCATAACAAGGAAACTTCCTTTAAAGCTCAAGGCTCAAACTCACGTAATAGGGCAAACAGCATAGGACAGTTTCTTACTCAAGGCTACCCACATAATAGAGCAAGGCAAGAATAGGACAGATTCTTACTAAATCTGTCATACTTCGACAACAGAACAAGAAAGTTTCTTACTCAAGGCTAGCACACATAATAGAGCAGGACAATAGAGAAAATAACCTAGCATGATCCTTTAATGCTCTGTTCATTTGCTGCTGGGCAGTACGCTTCACTTCATCAATTGTCATCTAGGAACAGTGATAAAGCTAATGAGAACATCCTTTTACACAAGATTAAACAGCAGAACTATCTAACGGGTCTAAATAAATTCCATGTCATTAACGTAAGAAAATATATTAAAAAAAGAGAGAAAAATATAACTGTAAAAAAAGAAGGAAACAATTCAGGAGAGAAAAGATAAATACAGATAGTATGATAAAAGCTTACATAGAGACTTGAAATATAAGGAAGCTAGTGAGCTAGAATCTATTTTGGTTTTACTCAATCGAATGTTCATCTCAGCTTACTATCATTCCAGATAGTTTGGACTTCAGATTTATCTTCTTTTTTCTCTCCTTGTAAATCCTCCTTCCGATTCCTACCTCTTTTTTCTCTCCTTGTAAATCCTCCTTCCGATTCCTACCTTGCTCACCAATCACTAGATATTCCTTTTAGATAACCAAAGGTCCCTCTTAAGGTAAGTCATTTGTCTGGACACCAGTATTTCATATGTAAACAGAACTGATCTGATGCGAATTTGTAAGCATCATCCTACTGAATCTCCCGATTTCATGATGTGCTCTTCAAGTTCAGAATCTATAAAGCACTTATTCTTGTACGACAAGGCAATACCTATCTTATAAAAAATTTGTTGGGGTTACAGTGAGATTTAGGTATATCCTACTTATGAAGAGTCTCTTGAGGTTAGGTTTCAAGGCTTTGGCAAAAAGGAGGTAAAAGTTCTATGGCATTCATCATGAAGTTTATGGCTTTTTGCAGATGCTCATGTCTATAACAAAGGCTTGGCTCTTAACCGTCCAAACTAATATACTAAGTCCTGGTATCATAGTCATAGTTAATATAGAATTCCAGCTTTGAAAATTAGCATGTCCCCAAATAGCAGGGATGTCAAGTCAAATAATACCTGCACAGCAGCTGCAGTTTCTAGTGCTATGGTCTGACTGACAGCAGTATTACTTTCAAAGAATTTCACAATTTGATCAATGCTGTCCTTCATATACTGTCCAAACTCCAAAGACAAATCAGTAAACGAAACAAATAAAAACTCAAATAGAGGATGAGGACAAAAATGAAAAACAGCATACAGTCATGTAACATGGAGAAGCTTTGGCAACCATCCTCCAGTCCACCTTGTCATCAAAAGGTTTGTAATGGAAGACACCAACTAATGAATCATGGGAAGTTGCACTCTGAAAGGATGTGGAACATATATTCAAGATATCACACATTCCATTTTGCAAGCACAAAAACCAAAATGCAGAAAATTAACATCAATGATAAGGAGTATAGTCCAACCTCTGCAAGAAGACCCTTTGGGGATGATAATTTATATGAGCCCAACTTAATGTCAAAGACCTTTGTTTCTGGATAAAGCTTTATGGAGCAACTGAGGTCTTCACATGATAATTCAGCAACCGACTCTTTGGTTTCCCCAATAAGCTTTGAAGCATTATGATTCATGTGAACTACCAGGAAAGTATGAATAACATCTGCCTTGCTATTTACAGCCAATTGCCCATCATCACTCTCCTTATATCCTATTATTTTATTTAACTGGTTCCAGTCCTCTTCACTGAAATTAAACTCCTCACTTTCCTCTTTAGGGGATTGACTTGTCCTAGGACATAGTACATGATCATAGGTGAGAAACGCAGTAAAAAATAAAATAAAGTCTCCATTATTTTGTTACTGAGACATGAAAATATTTCAAGACAAGACTATTCACCATCCAAATGACCACCAAGACTTCTGAGCTTTCTGTTTCCTCATGTTATGGTTTGACTCTGCTGATTTTTCCACAAACTTGTGAGCCAACATTCTGCAAACGCCATGAAATATAAATACTTTGAGGTCAAAGAATAAACAAGAGGGATCCAAAGTCTAATATATCTGTGTTATATATGAATGCATATATCTTTCAGTTGAATCCAAATATATGTGGACTGCAAGGTTGTAAAAGAGCATGTGAAGGTAGAAATATTTAATGCTCATACAATGAAGAAAAAGAAGCATCTAGATCTTTCTTTTTAACTAGTGGAGGCACTACATGCATTCGTTAAAAAAGAGAAGAAATAATAAATCTGTCCAGGTAGTTTGTACAGTTATTAGAGGTTACATACAGTTATTAAAGGTAAAATAGAAAAATAAACATGGACACCAAATGAAGGAATCCCTTTTATTATTAGTATAGATTATTAGTATAGATACATTTTCAAACCATACACACCAATAATATAGTATGAACTATAAAGAATCATCATGAGAGACTCGGACCAAAACTCAACAGTGTACTGAGTCAAAAAGAGAGCTTGATGGCTTGAATTACTACAAGTCATTCTTTTGATTAAAATAAGCCAAGATGCTTTTACTAACTTTTAACACAAGATTCATTAAAAAATCAAACTGATCTAAAATGTTCCACCTTCAAAAGTTGAGTTTATCATCACCATACAATTAATACCAGAAAAACTGTATGCAGGATGTACAGCTAAGGCTATGATATTATAGTTGAATCAATTATAGACTACCTCACATAGCCTTTTTTTCATATGATTACTTCAATATCAATATTAAATCTAACATATCAAAACGAACAATATACCTCCATTGCAGTATAAGTTCAATATCAAGTTCTCGATCTAGGTCTTCAATCTCTTTGTTGCCAATAATTGTCACCTGAGTGGGGTCAGATTTAAGTAGTGAAGCATACAGAGAGATATATCTCTTCCGCAAGCTTGCATATCTTAAAACTTGCTCCCATGACATTTTTCCACTGACAGAAGCACAATATCCATAGTCAATGAAGTATAAACATTAAAACATGATAAATAAAGCTCATTTATCACCATAGATCCCACAAAGCACTAATATAAATTTCAAATTGTACAACATTCTGAAAGTTGAAACAGCAAGTTTAAGAGCCTCATGAGAACATAAACCAAACACCCTCTAAACTTGTACTTATAAAAGCTGAATGAAGGCTAAGGTATTGAAATAGATGGAAGAATACTGAGCAAACATCTTAGAACAGCATCTTCTAAACATCCCTTGAGAAACTACACTACCCCTTCAAATTTGAAAAGCACCATAAAGAGTTAAAAAATATACAATACAAGACAGTTTGATGCAAGAGTTATCCACGAAAGTTCCAGCATTACATTACATGCACTTAAAACACCTTCCCCCTTTTCCTTCCAAGACCCCTAATAAGATTGAGCAGCAATAGCATAATATTTTCATCTAACACACATTAGATGCAACTAAGCATTCCACATGAAATTACTGAGTTTTAAAATGGCAAAACAAATGACAGAAATGTTGAAAGATGAAGTTTTATCTCATCCATGATTCCATACATAAATTTGTTAGGTATGTAACATTGATTATTATTGACTAAACAAATGCCCAGATGAAAAGAAGAATTAGATCTCCACAATTACTTGGAATTCATCTGTCCATCTCTCATTTTAAAGTATGGACAGTAAATAAAGGATACTATATCTATTTTCACCCTTTCTTATTTACTCTCAGAGAAGCAAATATATATTCATGTTAACTTCACATTCCCATTCACATTTGCTAAGTTCACATCTAAGAAGCATATGCAGTGGCCTTACCCGATCAAAATTAAACAGAAAATGACATCATGCCACTAAGTATATATAATGGATTTGATTTTATGGTGTTTGTTAAATCTTCTTTATGGTGTGCGCTCAGCATCTTCTTACCTAGCAATGATGATGCTATTTACTCATTCTTTGTTTGGAGTTGTTTAATCAGAGTTGAGGCTTTAGGAAATATGAAAAGATACTCAAATGCAAAAGAACAGAGTGCATGTTACTCTGTTTCATGCACAAAAAAAGGTGTTTGTACACCCTATATATGTAACAAATAGGAAAAAAAAAACACACGTAGATTCCCTTTCTAACTCTTCTTTCAACCTTTCTAGACAAACCTATTATAGGTAGCCCTTTCCAACACATTGACAACCAGTTCTGATAGACCGCAGTTAAGGGTGACTGCCATAGGCAGATCCAAGTCAGTGGGGGCAATTTATTATAATAAAAAAAAATAATAATTACTATTGTCATGAAATGAAATGTAAGATTAAATGAAATATCTAGCTAAATAAAAGGTAAAGTACCTACAGAGCTAAAAATGTATAACGTGAATAACTGATGACAGTGGGTTCAAAAACTTAAAAATATAGGGCACCATACAAAACTTCTATGTATATCCTTATAATTTTCTCAAAGTGAGGTGGTGCATTTGCACACCCTCACTTCAATGTAAATCCGCCAATGTTGATTGCAATTAAAGGGGCTTTAACACAACCCCCTCACACCCACGGCAATGGGCCTAGAGCATGGCAATATAGATGGACCAATAACAGATCTAGGATAAGCATTGATACTATCTTGGAATCAGGCCTTAGGGCATAACACATCCCCACAAAACTAACTTGGAAGGTGAGAATTGCCCTAACTTTATAAGCACTATTTAGGCCTTTTCTTTTCTCTAATCGATAGAAATCTCAACCCAGTAAGAGTTGACATCTCAATAAATGCACACTATGATGACACTTCACTTAACTTTTCTATCATCCCCTTTACAGACCTCCCTTTCTGAGACTTCAACAACCAACTCTGATAGGCTGCAATTATGGCAAACTAGGGGAGACCACAAATAAGGTGGAATAAGGTTGACTACAATTAAGGCAGCTTTCCAACATTTAATCACATTGAATTTGTGATTGATTGTGACAAATCAAAAATTATTGTAATTTGTATATTTGAATATTTCCTTATTTGGGTTGATAAAGTTTTGGGGTAGAGGGTGTCACAGTCAAGAAAGGTCTCTTTCGTGTAGAAGCTTGAGGATTCCATGCTCTTATGAATAGATAGGTTTTGAAGTGCTAGTCTTGTCATGTTGAGTGGGTATAAGGTGAAACTTGGTTGACATAGCTATCCTGATGCGCTTTGATGTATTTTCTTCTGATGAGAGTGTTGTGATGGCTTGACTTAGCATGTACTTCTAGATTACTCGGCCTTCGAGTGGTGAGAAATTATTTTATTGACGTCACATGTGTGTAATTAGGAGAGTATTATATATTGCATGAGCATAGCATACTTATTGTTGTGAATGACGAAGTTGAATGATATTGTGATGTGTTTTAAAGTATGAGACCTTGTATTTCTTAATTGTTGCAAATTATATGATGCAATTAATCATGATAATTCTGTTGCTTTAACTATATATTATTGGTGTGTATTTATATGTGTGTGACTATCCAACTTTTTTCTAAATCGATATTCGGAGTAAGATATATTTTCACCTCTATTTTCTTTATTGTTTTGTTTTGAGTTTATGTATCCAATTGATTTTGAATTTGGAGGAGTTTAATTGATGGGATAACTTTGATAAGATGTAACATATAAGAGTTCTTACTATAGGGATTATTAATGTTTTATTTGAATTATAAATTTTAGTTTACTTTATTTCATTTATAAACATTTTTGTAAAGTTTTTGAACTAATAACAATAATTTATTTGGTTTTAATTTTTGAATTTTGAATTTGAACGTGGTACCTTTTATCCATTATTTTGATTAATAAATAAAATATATTTAAGATATATTATTTTATATTATTAAATGCATGCATATCGAGTAATTAAAGGTGTTACAATAAATATTAATATATTGTATTATTTTGTAATAAGATAAATATGTGCATTCCAATGTATTGCTCATTCTACTTATGTTATATCCTTATTTTAGGATTAAATATATGGTAATCATAAAATTATTTCCATCAATAATATTAAATTTAAAATTATAATTTATTTTAAGAAAAAATAATTACATTGGCAATCTTTGAACATTTTTTAAATTACACATAATATTGCATTTTTTTTATAGTTACACTAATCCCTCAATATTTCAAAACATTAATTACACTATGTTACCCTAACTAATTATGCACACACTTAATGTTCAAAATAAAATTACACTATTATTCTTATATATATATATATATATATATAAAAATAAATCCTTGTTTAAAATTTAAAAATGAATGAAATGTGTAATCATGATTATCATGTAACGTTTCAATATTTTATTTATTTATTTTTATAAACTTTTATAATTCAATTAATTGAGAATTAAAAAAGTAACACGTTTTAACTTTTTCTTTCTTTTTTACCATTTAAACATACTCAGTTCCTTCTTTAAGATATAATATAATATAAAACATTAAGATCCTCGTAAGAGATATATATTAATATTAATATTTAATTAATAATATAACATTCAAAAAATTAAAATAATATATTATAAGCTTAATTAATGTTTTAGTCATTTAATTTTTTTTTTAAGTTTAACTTGATCCTCTTTTTAAAAGGTTCAATAATTGATTTCTTTATTAAGTTCAATTTAATACATCTATTTTAAAAAGGTTCAATTAAGTTTTTATTTTTTTTAAATGAGATTAATTTATTTCAATTTTTTCCTCTTAACTTCAAATATTCTATATAAAAAAATAAGGGTAAATTTAATTTAAAAATAAATCAAATAAACACATTTTAACAAATAAAAACTTAATTAATACTTTTTAAAATACAAAATAACAATTACCTTTTAACAATTAATAAATACAACTTATTTAAAAAAAAGTATTTATTTTTGTCATCAAGGTACAATGTGTCTTTTTCATGCTAATATTTAGATTTATATAACATTTATTCTAAGCTCATAGTAAAAAGAAAAAGAAAATAGAAAAAGAATATCTTGTTAGAAATTTTTATTTCTTATATTTAATATGAGCTATATATATATATATATATATATATTATTTGTAACATTTATATTAGAGGGGGTTATAATTATCTCGGTGTAACTTTTATCAGTTTTTTTACACTGACAATCTTTTAGTTGTGCCATATCACTATAAATACATTTACTTTTTTAACAGTGACATGACACAACTAAAAGATATAATTAGTTGTCAGTGTAAAAAAACTTTACACTGGCAGTAAAATATAAGTATTAAAAAAATAATGTATATATATATAGTGAGTTGAAATTAAACTCGTAAAAAATTTATATTAAGAATTATTATAAAAATTAATAAATTTACTGCAATATAAAAATTCATAATATATTTAAATTAAATATAAATTCATTTTTTATATTAAATGAACTTAATTAGAATGAACAAATTAACATTGTACACTAACACTATCTTCTAATTATTAATTATCACATCTTTTTAAATTTATTAATTTTTATAATAACCACTTTAAACATCATGTTCATCATATTTTTTATTTAAAAAAAATATAGAAAATGCGATGAAATTGTTATTTTTATGATTTATTGTGAAAACTAATGTAAAACAGTATTAAGGAAAGGCTATTGCAATTTAATCTCGTTTATAAGAATAATTAATATAGTGTGAAGTTTTTGTATATCATCAACTATTGTGTATAGTATATTTGTTTGCTTGTATAGTACTTAGTTTAAAAGTTATAGCAAGTTTTAATTAATTAATAATGTAAAATCTTTTACACACATGTGGATTTGCATTTTAAACCCAATTTCTAAACATAAAAAAAATAAAATGTAAGTTCAAAATATACAATAAACTCAAATAATTAACTAATTTAAAATAAATACATTTTTTTTTAATTTATAAGTTCATATCTTAAAGAGATTAAAATTAATAGTTCACTTTTTTGTTTGTCTTATTAAAAATATCTTAGAAAATATTTTTTAATTTCAATTAGTAATAATATTTTA